CAAAGACCTAAATATAAAATCAAAAACAATAAAGATCTTGGAAGAAAAAATAGGGACAAAGCTAGGAGCCCTAATACATGGCATAAACAGAATATAAAACATTACTAACAATGCACAAACAGCAGAAGATAAACTAGATAACCGGGAGCTCCTAAAAAAATCAAACAATTATGCTCATCAAAAGACTTCACCAAAAGAGTCAAAAGACAACCTACAGACTGGGAAAAAAATTTTGGTTATGACATATCCAATCAGGGTCTAATCTCTAAAATCTACAAGATACTGCAAAACCTCAACAACAAAAAGACAAATAACCCAATTAAAAAATGGACAAAGGATATGAACAGACACTTCACCAAAGAAGACGTTCAGACAGCTACCAGATACATGAGGAAATGCTCACAATCATTAGCCATTAGAGAAATGCAAATCAAAACTACAATGAGATGCCATCTCACCCCAACAAGGCTAGCATTAATCCAAAAAACACCAAATAATAAATGTTGAAGAGGTTGTGGAGAGACTGGAACACTTACATACACTGCTGGTGGGAATGTAAAATGGTATAACCTCTTTGGAAATCAGTTTGGTGCTTCCTTAAAAAACTAGAAATAGAAGTACCATATGATCCAGCAGTCCTACTCCTTGGAATATATTCTAAAGAAATAAGAGCCGTCACACAAATAGATAGATACATGCACACCCATGTTCACTGCAGCACTGTTCACAATAGCAAAAAGATGGAAACTACCCAGATGCCCATCAGCGGAAGAATGGATAAACAAATTATGGTGTATTCACACAATGGAGTACTACGCAACAATAAAGAATGATGAATCTGCGAAACATCTCATAACATAGATGACTATGGAAGGCATTATGCTGAATGAAATCAGTCAGTTGCAAAAGAACAAATATTGTGTGAGACCACTATTGTAAGAACTCAAAGTTTAAACACAGAAGAAAACATTCTTTGATGGTTACGAGGGTGGGGAGGGAGAGAGGGGAATTCACTGACTAGATAGTAGGCAAGAATTAGGTGAAAGGAAGGACAACACACAATACAGGGAAGTCAGCACAACTGGACTAAATTGAAAGCCAAGAGGTTTCCTGAGCACAACCAAACACTTCAAGGGACAGAGTAGCAGGGTTGGGGGTCTGGGGACCATGGTTTCAGGGGACATCTAGGTCAGTTGGCATAACAACGTTTATTAAGAAAATATTCTGCATCCCACTTTGGTGAGTGGCATCTGGGTTCTTAAAAGCTAGCGAGTGGCCATCTAAGATGCATCAGTTGGTCCCAACCCACCTGGAGCAAAGGAGAATGAAGAACACCGAAGACACAAGGAAAATAGTAGCCCAAGAGACAAAAAGGGCCACATAAACCAGAGACTCCATCAGCCCGAGACCAGAAGAACTAGATGATGCCTGGCTGCCACCAGTGACTGCCCTGACAGGGAACACAAGAGAGTCCCTGACGAAGCAGGAGAAAAGTAGGCTACAGAACTCAAATTTTAGTAAAGAGACCATACTTAATGGTATGACTGAGACTGGAGGAACCCCAGAAGACATGGCCTCTGGACTCTCTGTTAACCCAGAACTAAAGCTATTCCCAAAGCCAAGTCTTCAGACAAAGATTAGACTGGACTATAAGACATACAGTGATACTCGTGAAGAGTGTGCTTTTTAGTTCAAGTAGATACACAAGACTAAATGGGCAGCCCCTGTCCAGAGGCGAGATGAAAAGGCAGAAAGGGATAGGAGCTGGTTGAATGGACATGAGAAATCCGGGTTGGAAAGGAGGAGTGTGCTGTCAAGTATAGGGATAGCAACTAGGGTCGCATAAGAATGTGTGTATAAATTTTTGTATGAGAAACTAACTTGAGCTGTAAACTTTCATTTAAAGCACAGTTAAAAAAAAAAAAATAGCATTAGTGCCTTTGTGCTTTTCTGTGAAACATGCCAGTAATGGTTTGGCAATATACATATTGCTTCTAGTATTTAATTCATTATATAATTTTATTTATATATTGTAATTAGACATATTTCAGGTTTGTCTTCAATTGTGGCCTTTCCTGAAAAATGGTTTTCTCCACGGCCCAAATAATGTAGTATACAATGATTTGTGGATTTGGGAATAGAAAAGTTCGAACTTTTTCTGCTAGTACGCAAGCTCAGTGAGGGTAGGAACCTCATCCAGCTTGTTCAGTGTTATTCCCAGGAGCCTAGAACAATGCCTGACACAAGCACCCAACCAAGTATTTGTTTAATGAATGACTAAATGAACTTTTATTGTGGCTTAGTGAGGTGTTGTTTTTTTTTTAAATAATAATAATAATTGATTTTTGTTGCTAATGTTGTTGAGAATATACACAGCAGAACATACACCAGTTCAACAATTTCTACATATACAATTCAGTGATACTGATTACATTCTTCAAGTTGTGCAACCATTCTCAACCTCCTTTTCTGAATTGATCCTCTCCCATTAACATAAACTCACTGCCCCTAAGTTTCCTATCTAAGGTTGCTGTTGCCTGTTTGATCCTACATAGATAGACCTTAAAAGAGCATAATGCTCAAGGTAGATATTCTTTACTAGTTAAGCTAAACCGTTGTTTGGTTTTAAGATTTCAGGGGATATTTTTGGTTTAAGGTTTAAAGATTATCTCAGGACAGTAGTTTTGGGGTTCATCCAGCCTCCAAGGCTCCAGAAAGTCTGGACTCTATGGGAATTTTAGAATTCCTTACTACATTTCTCCCTCTTTTGATCAGAATTTTTCTATAGAATCTTTGATCAAAATACTCAATAATGGTAGCCGAGCACCATCCATTTCTTCTGGTTTCACGGCAAAGGAGGCAGTTCATGGAGGCGAAGTGTTTTGTTGTTTGTTTAAAGAGTTCCGTTTGTGTGTTAAGTGAAGTGTTACTACATTGTGAACCACAGCAGAATGCTGAAAGTAGGACTTAGTGGAATTAGGTGCTTGAATGACCCATTCAGAGAGAAATAATATTGAAGGGCTAAAGGGATGGTGGTAGGGAATATTCCCTGGGTATGCCAAACCCACTAAAGTATTCCTACCTTTTGCATCTCCCCAGGAGCACTCACTGTGGGCCTTGTGCGACAGTGTCAAACAATCCATGGACGAGACCGGATGTGCATCCCTCCCCGGCTCCCCCCAGAGTGGGTCACCACACTGTTTTTTATCATCATGGGAATCATTTCATTGACTGTCACATGTGGTTTGCTGGTAGCTTCCCACTGGCGAAGAGAAGCTACAAAATATGCTCGATGGATAGCATTCACTGGAAGTAAGTAACCTGTGCTTACCAAATTTGTTTAGAAGGCGCGCATGGTGGTATTTTTATGAAGATAATCAACAGCCAATAATAAGGACTCCATAATCGTCAAAGAGCACCAGTTGTGTCTGCCCTTGAGATAGACTCTACGCTGTCCCACCAGTTCTTCAGAACTCTCACTATGAGACCAGGACATCCACAACCTTAATCACTTTGTATGAAATGCTATTTTATTGAATTTTATCTTTGCTTGCATTGTGACATAAGTGTTCCAGGTTTGTGACTCAGAGCTACGACGGGCCTGAGTCTTTTCCTCTTCTTCTAGGTATTGGTGTCTTCTATCCAATAAAGGTAATTCTAGAAGAAAAGATAACAAAAATATAAATTAGATGAAGATGATGATTTGCTTTTTAATGTCATTGGTTTTGAGTTTCTACTTTGATCTGTTATGTGACAGTGAAAATCAACACACTTGGTTATTTAATAATTGTTTACCAATATTTCTTACTCTATTATACTGTGCCCAAGAGTGTGATGTATTTATGCATTATACATGCTCTTGTACTTGGCAAAATTGGTTTAATTTCAAAACACATCACAGGCTTATCCCAGATAAAACAAAAGAAACAAAATGCACAAGAAAAGATATTTCTGTAATTCTGCTTTCTTCTTTTTCTCTAAAGCAGTTTTGCCTCCTCAGGGGACATTTGGCAATGTCTGGAGACATTTTTGATTATCGTACAGTGCACAGAACAGCCCTCCACGACAAAGAATTATCTGACCCAGTAGTGCCAGTAGCGGCAGTAGCGCCACTGTTGAGAAACCCTACTCTGGAGAAACAGGATAGCAGTTAACTATGCAAAATGCCAGGGGATTTAGTGCGTTCAGGGCCTTAAATCATCTCTGCTTTCCTTAAAGTTTTTAAAAATGAATATTATAACATAACTTGCTTTCACTTGGTATTTTCATTTAGAACTAGTGTCCTGAGGGTAAAGGATAATCTCATGTATCCTTATTAATGTTAAAACGCAGTTTATCCTTAAAGGCCCTAGGGTCTCTGTTTCTTGCTATCTTTCCCTGAAACTCTTTCTCTTTAATGTATATGTTTCTAGGTTGGTTTTATATTTTTGTTTCTATCTCTCCCTTAATTTTGAAATTTAGAACAAGTTGCTTTGACTTAAAAAATCTTCTCCATTCTTATTAAGCAGCATGAAACAAGTTAGTGATCTTTCCCCTGTCAAACAAACCTCCGAGACAGTTCTTTTCTAGAGAATACTGTCCAGAGGCAATAGGCAATCGTAGAGAGAATGCTGCTAAATTAAAGGATATTGGCAATGAATTTGAAGAGAATCTGACTCTCTCTTACTCACAGATACTTTATGCAGACAGAATTCATTCTTTAAGGAGTACAATAAAGTCAGCTAAGAAGGATTTAGTTGAAATTTGGGAATGCATATGCTCTGAATATCAAAACTATAAATTAGGATTTAGCAAAGTAGTATGAGCCAAAGAAAGCATTAAGATGCTCACATGACCCAATAAAGGGAAAGAACTAGAGTTGTCTTCTTTTTTTTTTCATTCCCCTTCAAATTCTCCTAGTTTAAGTTTGTGTAGTTACATCCAGATGCAATGTGTTTTTCCTTTGTTTTTTATTTGTATATTTTATAAAATTTATATATTTTAATTTTTTTAATGGGTAATATATGTATATGGCACATAATTCAAAACTTATAGGAGGGTAACCAAGTGAAAAGTAAGTCTCACTTGCGTCCCTGTCACCCACCCATCCAAAAATAACCCTTTCCTTCAGGCAACTGTTGTTTACCAGTTTCTGGGGTTTGCTACCAGAGGTGTTCTGTGCATAGAAACATATATGTATAGTGCATATGTGTGTGTGTTCCATAAATATATTTCACTATTCTGTTCCTTGGTGTTTTAATTTAGCAATATATCTTGGAGTTAATTTCATATAAGTAGCATAATAGAGCTGCCTTACTCTTCTCAGCTTCCTTGAATGCATTGTTGTTACCAGAGCTGGTCACCTGGGGCGGCAGTCCTGAGAGGGATTGGGCTCCCCCTACTGTTTCCATTCAGCCCTGCAAAATGTACTTCGTTATATATATTTTTTTATTCCAGTTAAACTAGTTTTCTCATGAATGTGAGGGTAACATTTTCTGGTGGGTGAGCACAGTGGGAAAATATCTCTCAGAGGAGAGCCACACATGATAGGGCTTGCCTTTGGAGGCAAGGAAACAAAGATATGCCCTCTTCAAGTCTGAGCCTTGTCCTTTCCTTTGCCACCCTGATTTACGTCCTCACCTACCAATACATCTGATTTCCGACTCTCATCACCAAGAAATCTGTGCCATGAAGGGAATGAAGTTGTGTCTTTACAAATTTATTAGGGCTCAGAGTTTAATCTTCAAAGGATGATAGACATTATCAGCATTATTAGCATTTTAAGATCTAAAGCAACTTCACAGTTCTCTATAGCTTAGAAGAAAAGAACCCATCCACCTACATTAAATCTGCTCTCTAGGAAGTATAGAGAACCTAATTCTTTTGATTCAAAACAAAGATTAGATTAAATAAGAGTTCATTGCTTCCTTAAGATGTGATTAAGCTTTTCCTAACCAAATTGGAAAATACTTAACTCATATTAAATATTAAATTCTACATTAAAAATAGTCACTATATAGTTATTCCATTAACATAGAAAATAGGAAGGGATAGGAATAACGTTGACATATCAGTTGGCAAAATGAACAACTTTAATATCTGCATATCTGCAAAGCATTTCTAAATTATTTTAGTGTTCCTTGAGATTAGTCAACTAAGAAAAAACAATTCTGTTTTAAAACAATAACCTTATCCCGTTGTTTTTTATTAGTTTGTGTATAGCTACTTAGATTGTGGTTTTGTTTTACTTATCAAACCATATTGAGCCATAATAAGCATTAGAAGTTGGTGACAGAGAACAGTAATAAGTGGGCATTGATAGCACTAATAGAGTTTTTTGTTGTTGATTATACAGCAAAAAGACCAAAAGTTCTGAAACTTAATACTTGAAGTTTTTGTTTGTTCTGTAGTAGGTGGCTGAAAGAATCCAAGTTTACTTATGAAGTACTATTTTGTGTGGTGGTTTGACCAGAATGAAATAGTCTGTGCCTGTATAATACAATATGAAATAATCTACCTAAATGGTACAAAGCAAACAAGAGTACCAGTGTTTTTCTTAAGCTACTGTATTATTTTTAAAAATATGTTACTTTTTAATACATTGCTGGTATTCCTTCCAGAAAAGAATTCCTAATTGGGTTTTTTAAGGCTCTCATATTAAATTTTGTTGATTGATTAACGCAAGAGAAAGATGTCAGTTGATATGTTTATCCAGGGCTTTGTCAATATTCCTGGGGATAGGTTTAACTTGGAAAAGTTGTCTCATTCAGGTAATAATGGCAAGTTTCAACTTTCTGTATGCAGTGACTATAGTAATCTATGTCTTACTTCACATTCCACTGAAGAAATATTTCTACCTCCAAAGAAATTTGAAAGACTATGAACATTTGACCAATATGCTTTCAAAAAGCATAAAATATTTTCTTGGAAAAGCCAGCCTATCTAGGTGATTTTTGTTCACTAAGAACAAGGGTGCAAACTGTTTGCTAAAACAGTAGATTGTGGAACTATTTCTCCCCTGACCCAGGGTTTTCTGACATCTTTCTAGAAGCATTTTAGCAAATAATATATTTCATTGTGTATATATACAAAACTCAAAAAAGGGTTTTCCCACCTTTCCCCCCTTTAACCTCTGTTTTCAGAAACCCAACTGAGATTTAATTTTTTTGGAACATTGTCCATGGTAAGAGATAACTACTCTGACAATTTGCTGGTCATCCCAGAGGTCTGAGTCTTTTTCCACCAACTGACTTTAAATCAGAGTAAGATAAATAGCACTTATATGTACCTTTTCTCCAGTTCCTTCTAACTGAGAGGAGAAAATTTACAAAATAATGACTACGATGATAGTAATAGGAAACATTTATTCAGCACTTGCTGTGGACCTGGCACTGTGCCAGGGACTTGACATTGTTTTGTTTATCCTTCTAGTATTTTCCCCATTTTCAGAAGGGAGCCAGAGGCCTACCTAAGATTGCACAGCTAGTGAGTAGTGGAGCCAGAACTTTAGCCCCTGTCTGACTACAGGCACTGTTCTTAAATAGTCAGGAATGGTATACATGAGTGAGTACGGAGAATGGTTGCTAAAGCCCTTTCTTAATGCTGGTGTTCGAAATCGTTCTAACACTTACATAAAAGACTAACTCAGCCTTTACTATGTTTAATTGTTAGGCTTTTGGGGATATAATGTGACCTATAATATATGTAAATCTTTTGACAAGTGACCCATGTTTTAACAGATTTGACCATGTTATAAATCCACAGCCTTTCTTATAAACTTCCTTTGTGCCAAATTTTCATTGTTTTCTTAATCACCAAACCATGTTACTAATGTTGTGTTTTGGTTTGTTTTACAGTGATCCTTTTCTGTATGGCTGCCCTAATATTTCCAATAGGATTTTACATCAATGAAGTCGGAGGTCAACCTTATAAATTACCCAACAACACAGTAGTTGGGTCATCATATGTACTTTTTGTCTTATCAATTTTCTTTACAATAGTAGGACTTCTATTTGCTGGCAAAGTTTGTTTACCAGGCTGATGAATGTCTAAATGCTTGACTCTCTTTTTATTTGTTATTTTATTTTTTTATTTTTGGAGGGTGGGGTGAATAAAGGCAAGGTGTCTGAGCAGTCCTCTCATACGAAGACGCTTAGATGAAGCTGATGTTGAAAGAAAAATGCTTTGATTTGTTCTCACTATGCACTTTGGATTTAAAAAAAAAAAAAAGGAGAGCCTTTTCCATAACCAAATACAGACGATATTGACTAAATCTCCTGAGCATATTCAGGCAGTCAGGTCTGCACTGTGATAGCAACCTAGTGAAGGAGAATGCTTTATACTGAAAAGCATGTGGCCGTTTGTGACTCTGTTGTTCTGTTTTTAATGTATAATGATTCATTTGAGGGGAAAAAAAGTAAGTATTTATGAATCATGGTGGACCAGAGGGATCCAAGAGTTCAAGTGGGGCTGGCCTCACCTCCTAAGAAAGTAGTGTTCACAGCTTCCTTGTAATGGTATGAGCCTTTGGCACCAGAGCGGATTGCCATTGCATTATTACTACACCAAGAAGCCAGTAGATCAAAACTTGTTTGCTAAAATGTATGTAAAAATTCTGAAATTCCCTATTCTCTGTGTACAAAA